TGTATGAATCCAACTGGTTGTAGTTTTAGCCCTGTCTGTTGAAATGACGATCCTGTTGTCACTTTTTTGCGAGTTTTAAGTAGGTTTTCAAGAAGTTTTTCTCTGCATATTGAATTTCATAAGCTTGTTCTGGGGTCTCAGTTACCGCCTGGAGGTCTTTTTGTAACTCGTCGTTCGTGATAGTAGCTGTGAATAAGTCCCTTGTGTTTCGGCTTCCAGACCACTATCCTGACAATTAGGGCATTTGAAATTCCCTTTTACCAATAATTCCGTTAGGCGGCATTGGAAATGTTAAAGTGTCTCTGTTTTGGCTTGTTTTCTTGTGAAAGCTTCATATCTGTCAAAAGTAACATTGCGGTCTTGAATGAATAGATGTTGTAGTCTTGCCCAAAAGTTTCTAGTTATTATTTCCTGGATCTTTATCTCTGGTTAGTGTTGATTTAGTCGTCGTTGCCCTTCGTTTCCTAGGCTCACATATATTCAGCTGCAAACCTTAATTTTGGCTTCCTCCCACGGTTTTCTTTCCTCTGTGGGTCCTTGGTTATCAAGTTGAATACATTGATTTTACCACCGGACTCTCCTTTTCTTGATTGCGAATACCTCTAACTCTAGCTTGAGTTTGTGCTTCTCCGTCTATTTGGATTTTGTAACCTGGCTCTTGTGATTTTCTAATTGGGGTAGATATCGTAGCAGCTTTTGTAAATTTATACCATCTTTTGCGATGGTTCCTAGATACAATTGTTGGTTCCATTTTTTCATCACAATAAGAGGTGCCATATCAGCTTTCTGAAAGAACGGCCGGATATCCAGTGGGTTGTTTGTTACTGCTTGCTGCACCATGTTTTACCCAAGGAAAAGATATTAGTACGTGAGCTAAGTGTTGAGACATTAACTAAAAAGAATCTTGTTATCAACTTAAGTTCAAACGGTTAAAGTTATGTCTGATTCGAATCCGACCATGAAATCATGAGCCAGACAGAGACTCGTAATTAGCTATTGAATATGGCATTAGTTTCAACAGATACTTGAACAGATCAGACATCTATATGGTTATGTTAAGAAGAGATATCATCAAGTATGGTTGCCTTTTCGGGTTAAAGTTTAATGTTTGAGTTTTAATCAGTTTTCTATGGATATCCTATGTATCCGTACGGATAAAAAAGATGTTCAACACTTTTGCACGAAACCGCTTTTTCTTCGACGATTTTCCCCATCTCTTTTTTAATTTTTCAACAAATTCTTTATGCCCCATAAAACGCTCAATTCCCTGAATTCAAAATGAAACAAAAGAAAATTTTACAACTGCGGTTTTTTGCGTTCTTTTGCAAAGCTAAGAGGGTTTTGAAAACTAATAGATTTAACGACCTTAGAAGTTGGTTGTATTTAGCTGACAAAATTTGCTTGTTTTTATCTGATAAGAAAGCATTGATTTGTTCACACTCTCTACTTTCAGCCTCTCAAAATGTTTTGGCAAAAAAACTGTTCGGTCAAAATAAAACAGAAGGAACCGGTTGCTAAACACAAAAAAAAATTGCAAATCAAACAAAGGAAAAATGAATTTAATTCTAAAATTTCTATTTTTTTCCGATGGATAAGCATCAACGGTAGCTTTAGAACCTAGTTAATCTCAGCCTATTCAAAATACGAAAGATAAAAGCACAAAGTAAGTGAGCCAGCCGAATTATGAACCAACCGGAAATGCTCGGGGTATATAAACCAGCCAAAAAGTTACATCATATGAATGAATTTGCACAACTTTTGCAACTGTTACATAAATGTAAGATAACCACTACATAAATCCTACGTATTTTCGACTGGTTGACACTTCGACTAGTTTTTGTTTCGGCTGGTTTATAATACCACCGATGCACTATTCGCCGAGCTCAAAAAATGACTAATTTTCACTCTCCACGCCAAGTTTGTGCAAAAAGCAGAAAACTGAAATCAAATTTTTCGAAAACGAGACAATTGTTCACAACTTTTAAGTAATTAATTGAGTCAAAGCTGAAGGAGTTTTCGAAAGACCATTTAACTCAAATCGCTAGACCCAATTTGGCGCTTAGTGGTTATAATATTGGTTATCGGTTATCGGTTATATGATTGGCTTTTCTATGATGAAACACGACTGAAATTAAATCCAGGAAACATGAAATTGACGGAGGGGGCTTTTCAATTCCGAGATCAATTTCAAAGTCAGGTACTCAAAGTTTGCTAGTTTTTTGTAATAAAGAAAAGTTTGTAAAAAGAGAAAAAATATCAAATTTCAAGACAGGAAGAAGAACTAAATGAGGAAGTAAATTAATTCTTAGTTCAAAAAAATCTGTCTGGAGCTGGTTTTAACTATTACTTATCTATTCCACCTTTAAAAATTCAACCTGATAAAATTTTAACCCGCCTTGTGTCTCAAGCAATTGATAAAAAAACACGGTAAAAATCATCACTGCACTTTAAGGCCCATTTAAAATAATCTTGATTGATACTTAATAAAAAAAATCATTTGAAAAATTTTTTATTACCCGTTAAGTGATGCATTTTGCTTCTTGCTTTGTAAAAATGCGACCAAAAGATTTGCCTCAATTCAATTTGGCACGCATTGATCCGCCGCTTTTGCGTGTCATAAGAACGCAATACATGGCGAGTTAATTAAACCCAAAACTGGCGAAATTAGCAGTTTTCAAACCCCTATACTTTCACAAAAAAAGTATTCGTAGTTGAATATTTCACCTTCGAGCTATCAACACCCTATCTTATTTAATTTTGACATAGGCAGAATAAATCATAAATTTTAGACGTAGTTATTGAGAAAGAAAATTTGACTTTTTAAAACGCCGAGCAGTGGCAATTATTTTGTGAAAAAATTGTTGTAGAGTTATGAGGGCTTGAAAACTGCTAATTTTGCTTATTTGGGTAACTCACACGCAATGTATATTGTTTTATAACACGCTCAAGCAATCATTATCATTGCAATGGCATAGAAAGATTTCATGAAAAAGGCTAGGTTACAAGGTACAAAATTGACTGAAAAAAAAACTGATCCAAGCATAAACTTTTTGAATTTTCATCAAAACGGAAAAAAGGCAATTGTTGTTTGCTCTATTCCATGTATCGTCAGCGAATATTGTTTGAAATGCTTGAATCAATTTGGTATCAATGATCCATTCTTGTTTTGTAAAAAAAATCTTCTGGCAAAACACGTGTTATAAAGTACAACCGTGCTATCAACACCCTATGATTATTTAAGCTTGACATAGGCAGAATAAATCATAAATCTTAGACGTAGTTATTGAGAAAGAAAATTTGACTTTTTACAACGCCGAGCAGTGGCAATTATTTTGTGAAAATATTGTTGTAGAGTTATGAGGGCTTGAAAACTGCTTATTTTGCTTATTTGGGTAACTCACACGCGATGTATATTGTTTTATAACACGCTCAAGCAATCATTATCATTGCGATGGTATAGAAAGATTTCATGAAAAAGGCTAAGTTACAAGGTACAAAATTGACTGAAAAAAAAACTGACCCAAGCAAAAACCTTTTGAACTATCATCAAAACGGACAAAATGCAATTTTTATTTGCTCTTCTCCACGTATCGTCAGTGAAGATTGTTTCAAATGCATGAATCAATTTGGTTTCAATGATCCATTCTTGTTTTGTTAAAAAAACCTTCTGGCAATACACGTGTTAAAAAGTACAACCGCGCTATCAACACCCTATGATTCTTTAAGTTTGACATAGGCAGAATAAATTTTAGATCTTAGATGTAGTTATTGATAAAGAAATTTGACTTTTTAAAACGCCGAGCAGTGGCAATTATTTTGTTAAAATTTTGTTGTAGAGTTATGAGAGCTTGAAAACTGCTAATTTTGCTTATTTGGGTTACTCACACGCGATGTATATTGTTTTATGACACGCTCAAGCAATCATTATCATTGCGATGGCATAGAAAGATTTCATGAAAAAGGCTTTCATGATAAACCTTTTGAACTTTCATGAAAACGGACAAAATGCAATTGCTATTTGCTCTATTCCACGTATCGTCAGTGAAGATTATTTGAAATTCATGGATCAATTTGGTTTCAATGATCCATTCTTATTTGGTAAAAAAATTTTCAGACAATACACGTGTTGAAAAGTACAACCGCGCTATCAACACTCTATGATTATTTAAGTTTGACATAGGCAGAAATAAACCATAAATCTTAGACGTAGTTATTGAAAAAGAAAATTTGACTTTTTAAAACGCCGAACAGTGGCAATTATTTAGAAAAAACTATTGGATAATATACATTTTTCCTCACTTCCTCACTAAAAACAGCACACTTCACAGTAACAATAAAATTCATCACTTTTCTTCCATTTTCTTCACTTTCCTTTCGTTATTTTCTCTTTTTCGATAAAGTTAGATAATTATCTTTTTTAATCAAGCATTGTTTGTTTGTTTTGCACCCTGGTTCAAAAATTCCTGCTTCAACTAAAAATATTAGTGAAACAAAAATTAGTCAGACAAAAACTACAGAGATTTTTTAATTTGAAAGTAAAACTAAAAATTTTTATATGCCATTCTTAAAAAAGAAGAAAGCCAAAACAACCATATTTCATTTCAAGTACAAGGAAATCTAACGCGAATATAACTTGAAAAAAGTATGTGCTGTGTCGATAATTCGATCAATTAGTAAACCAAAAGCGGGCAGACTAATTCAGTAATACAAAAATGCATGATTTATTTATGTAATCACGGGTTTTGGAAACTGAGAGATTTGTGCTCACTAAATAATTCAAAAAAAAAGCATGACAACTGTTTTCTCAGAAGAAAAAGTACAAGAAAAGAAAAAAACAAAAACTTGCTATCAGCCCCACTGTTTTAGAAAAAATTGCTCTAGTTCAGAAAAGTTTGTACTGTAAGTTTTTGATTCCGCAATTGAAATAAAAGCTTTGAAAATTTTGGCCTTCACTTATAAAAAACAGCTTATAAAAAACAAATCCGCTTTTTTCATTTCAGCGAGCAAGACCAAATCTGAAGGTTCTCACACGCCAAGTGACAGGGACAACCAGAGTATTAACAGTTTAACCCTCTCCGCTGGTGAAAACCTCCCGGATGTAAAACCGAACAAACCAATAGTTGCAGTGGAAAACGACATTTTCAACGATGCAATGGCATTTAGTACGACTGAGAGAGCTAGTTTAGAAGATTCTAGAAGATTCTATACAGGACAAGAAAAGAAAAGTAAGTCAGTTGATACAAATGAGACTAAAAACTCGAGAAGATTGACAAAGATGCCAGTTTGTTTTCAACTGGAAGCGATTTACCAGGAACAAAGGTTAGCGAGTTTGCTATCCTTAAGAGGAACTTACGAATAATCGGCTAAAATTGAAAGCCAGAATTTATTTTTTCTTTTTGCTCTAGATGTTCCCTTCTAATTAAAGACAACAAAATATAAAACAAAGCAGTAGACATTAACGGGAGGAAAGGATTTTGGGAGAAGGATTTCCAAAAAGTTTTGTCGGCTTATTTTTAGGTCGACTTTTTGATTTTCCCAGCTCTCCAAAAACACTATATAAAACCTTTTTGCTGCACCGAATAAACGAATTTCATTATCGTCAAAGACCAGGACAATTTTCGAGTGATCCATCAAATTTATGTATTTTTAAATTAAAAATAAAAACGATTTGATTTGTTGATTTGTAATTTCAAAAAGTTTTAAATACCAAATTGCTTTTCTTTAGTTCTCTTTTGAGATTTTTAAACTTTTTTTGGTTTCGCCTCTTTGATTGTTTTTCATGCAAACTGTTTTTGTTTTAGAAGAACGAAATCAAGATCAAACAAACGAACTTCCAGTGAGAGCCAAAGTTAAAAAAGCAACCCTCGACTCACGTCACAAAACAATGCAATACAGTCCTTTTCAGCAGACGCAGAAAAGTAGTCCCAATAAAATCATCAATATGACAGCCGATGATAGCATTATGCGGTCTTCTCTCGGTTACATACGACTGATAAATTTACCCACTTTTGAAGAAGCAGCCAAAGTTTTCAACTCAATCAAGTCTGTTGATTACTCAGAGCTAGTCGATTCTTGGAAGAACTTTGTCAAAATATCAAATTTGTTGCAACACAGTCCGGAAAAGGCTGAGAAACTGCTGGATGAAAATAAAAGTCTGTTGGATATCAAGTTAGTTCGTTTTTTTTGTGAATTCAGAGAGCTAAAAGTGGTGCAACCGAATGTTCCAACAATCGAAGGTTCGTTCGAGGAGAAAGCTTCGAAAGATCGCGAATATTCGCTACTATTTGACCTGCGTGTTGTTGAGTTGTTTTTCAAGATCCCCATCTGAGCGTGTTTTAAGCACTGCCTGAAACCCTCTCACCCCGAACAAAGAGCAATTTTCACTGCAGACCGTGTAAACATGCATAATATTCTACATGAAAATTTGAAATTTTTCAATTATATATTGATCTTCAATTTTTTCTCAAAAATACTGAATAACCCAAAATACCGAATGATCGGACGTTCGACCAACGTTCAAAGGTTTTTGAAGAACGTTCGAAGGCTATGTGCGAACGAATGTTGCACCACTAAGAACTGTCCATGCATTGACAAAATGGTCTCACAAAAGTGCGCAAAAACAGAAAACTTTTTTTGCCCGTTTTAAAAAATACTTCTCGTCCAGACTGGTGTAAGTTTCTTATTAAAAAATCTAGAATAGCGACTCTCGATTAATACGGGGAAAGGGAATCATGAGCATAGAAAGGAAACTCCCTTTTAATGGGAGATGTTAACAATTTAAAAGTTAAATATGAATTTAAAACGATTTGAAACGAACTAACCTGTAATGTTGGATACACAAAAAAATTTAGAATAAAAACACCAACTCAATTAAGGTACAACAAAGTTAAGGCAAGACTGCTTAATCTTTTTTTGGTTTTTTGGAATTTTTAAAATTTTTCAGGTTGCTGGTAATACTGAACAATGGCAAAAACTCGAAGACAATTTCGAGCTGGATTACAAACCAGATCATGAAAATAACATCAAAGCAAGAGCTATGGAGATTTTCTTTACTCCGTAGCTTGGAAATCTTCAATTGGGAATTTAGTTTTATTGAGAGTATTCTGAAGGATGTATTACAAAAGCTAACAGAAGATTTGAGTCCTCCTAAACAATGTAAGTACGTCTTGAGTAAATATTTTAACATCAGCAAATAGTTGAACACCAGAGTTTAAACTTTTTTATTTTAATGGTTTATAAAAAAATTTTATTCTGAAAGGAATTACTCAATTTCAGGTTTCTTTTGTGACGTGTGTAGCAAATTACGATCAAATCTACAAGCAGAGAGCGAGCAGCTACAATGGAGTAGAAATTTTCTGCTAGAGGAAACAGTCTCAGTTGTTAGGAAGCACCAGCCGGTAATTGAAAACAAATTAGTCCGAAGCAATAGACAGGAAACAACCAACTAGGGATTTTTCAGGCAATTTTACTGTAGGAAATTGAAATGATGACAACTTAGACAGTAACAAAACCCACTTTCTTTTATTCAGCCAGCAACAAAAAAGTACTTTAAATCAAGGGCGAAAAATAACAAGACTGATTGTATCAGAGCGAAGCTAAGAATGTTCTGGCTGCACCCTATTGTCGATCACAAGTTTTTTTGTTTTGGAAAATTTTTTTAAAAAAAATCGAAAAAGAAAAATTTTGAGTTTTTTAAATTTCAATTCTTATTTTGACTCCCACAAGCTATTGAAACTACCAATATTTTGCGTGTGGTAACATATAAAAACACACTGCTTGTCTCAGTTCAATTTGAAAGAATTGAATTTCCCGCCTACGCTTTAGTTGAACGAAATACATCGCGTGTTAATTATCCCAATTTGAATTGTACTCGTCAGAGTAGTCGCAAGTTCAAAGCATTAAAAATTTGTGAAAAAGGATCACAAGTGGTGTTTCTTTTTACATTTAAACTCCAAACAACAATTTTTTTTTCAAATTAGTAGACAGTAGCAGTAAATATGAATAGACAGCTACGTATTCATACTCGCTAGTAATAAGACAAAATACTACGTCAACCAACCAAATAGCAAACCAATTGTACGAATTAACTTTTTTTGAAAAAACGCTTCGTAAAATTGCTTTATCGTCTCGATTCTGAGTGGATAACATAGAAGTGGTTTTCTTAATGGAGAGTATGAATACGCGGTTTTTTCCTACTTACTGCTAGGTTGCCAATGTTTTTTTAGTGATATCAAATTTGTCCTAAATCCAACGTTCATAGCAGTTAAAATAAAAATGATCACCAAATGTCCCCAAATTAATTAAGTCGAATTTTGATTTTTCGAAGTTTGAGCCAGCAGCTAACTAAATTAATGTTCTATTGTTCAAACAGCATAGAATCAAACTGCCACACAGCGGCGGGGGCCATTCTGATAACGGAAGGATGATGGAATATTTTTAACCAATAAGCATCGTTAAATATTCCTATATGCGAAACATTTTTTCCGCAAAAATATGATGTCATGTCAAAAGTAGCCGAGAATAAACCTTATCATTATAAAAAGCTTTGCAGTGCATTTTGTGCAGACCTTGAATAAACTTTTCTAAGAGCTTTTATATAATATATGACATTTTATAATTCATGTGTGTGCTTATATGATAATCAGTCGATTTTAATTTTAATGGCCCGGATTTGTTTGAAATTTTTGCAATTTTTTGAGATTTTTGAACACTTATTTCCGATTGGATGAAATTTTCTATCGTTGGGTCTCTTCATCATAAGGATGCTAACGACTGCAGCCACCGCAATCAAGCCAAAAAAATGCGAACCGGCCAACAGTTTGTAAGTGTTTTTAAAAAATTGGTACCAGTTATTGCCGCAAAGGAGCGACGCGCTCGAACCGACGACAACCAAGAGTAAATTGTGCTCGTAAATTGTCGTGTAGTAGTCTTTGACCAATGAAACCTTTTGGTCAAAGAGTTCTACAAACAAATTAATATATTTTTTAAAATGGCCGTTATTTTCAGTTATAACCCTGAGTTTTGGCTCACAACATTTGGCTTCCAAAATTTGGTTTCCAGAATTGAACTAATTTTACTAAGAAAGGCAAAACAGTAACTTACGAATGATCAATCATTTTTTTTATTAAGCTTCAAAATAGCTCTTTTCTCATATTTTTTACCGTTCTTTTCAGACAATTTCATTAGCCTAAATGCGTTTTTAATTGTCATTTGAGTCCCATTTTGGGCATTTTTCCGAATATTTCAATGCTCGGGATGCCAACCTAGCTTTTCTAAAAAATTTCGAGCCAATTTTGTAATTAAAATTTTTTTCGTTCTCATTTTTTGTCAGGGAAGTGGGTAACCTGCTAGACGGTTGACCAAAAATAAACAAAATAAATAACGGAAGAGATTTTCTTCTGATCGAGACGCATATAGGGCCAAAAATTTGTGAAACTCAACACCAAACCAATATTCCGAGCAGAGTCTAAAAAACACTATCAATTTTCCTTTTCAAATTAGTGTAGTTATTTTCGGCTTGGTGTGATAAAAGGAGTTGAGCAGAAATATAGAGATTAGTCATGTGCGACAGTCAAAATAAAATATGTTCGACAGTCGTAGTAAAAAAAGCAAATTGAAAAGATATTTTTGTAGACCAAAAAATTATTCGCTTTATTTGGTCGAATTAAGAAAAAACCGACTGATTTTGGTGGCTAATTTTCCTTGTAAAACAAAAAAAAACTAAAGCAAACCCAAACACCAATTCCTCTACATTTTTCAAACGTTTGGAGCAATATTTTAAGAGCAGAGTAGGCTTAAGTGCAGAAATGAACACAAAATAAGTTGGGCTTATATAATTTCAACTAATAATTTATTACTTTAAAAAACATGTTTTCAAATCAGTTTTTGTGACTTTTTCAAGTCACACTTCGTAGTTTTTTTGACATAAAACTATTAATCGAGTTTTCAAGCAATTGAGACGTATGTTAATTTTGATACAGGCATATACAATCAGTAGCAGTCTGCCCCCTCAGCTATTCGGCCCTCTGACTACCCAAAGATTTCCAATTTTGGTACCATTTAAAGACCACCATTTTTGACTGGCTGACCTTTAAAAGTGTTGGACAAAATTTTCGAAAATACTTTGAAAAGCCCACCTTGAGTAAATCTTGGAGCCGCCCTTGTATATAATTATAATTTTATGATCTGACGAATTAAAATCAGGCAAACTGAACTCAACTCTATTTGAAAAAGTATTACTAGACTTGCAAAATTTTGCAGTTTCAAAAATACTAAATTTTAAGTTCAATGGATGAACTGAAAATCTTCTGCATAAAAAATCTAGACACGCCGCAAAAACACAGTCTGATAGACGCAAACTATTATTTTGCGTCAATTTTAAGTGTCAACAAGACTGCTTGTATCAGGACAAAGCATTGAATATTCCAACTGACATATAATTTCTATGAACAAGTGTTCGCTTTAAAACATTTGATGAGTTTAAAAAAAACTATTGATTCAACCAACTTTAATTGATTTTTAAGACACATTAGGTCTCCGCTTGGGCGTTAATAGCGCAAAATATATCGCGCATGGGCTTTCCCAATTTTGCCTAAATGGCAATCTTTAAACACCCATAACTTTACGAGAAAAAATCACGGGTGAAATATATTTTGAGTTCATGACAACAATATCTTTCAGATGATTTTTAAAAAATCCGTACGAATTGGCTATTTAAAAAGTCAAAATTTGTCTGAAGAAAAAAAACACCCCGTGCACAAATATTCCATCTCTTTCTACAAAAGTCGGAACAAAAATTGATTTTTTGAGTGATCGGCTTTTGACCAGATCAGCATTCAAAAATTGTACGCTCAATTTTCTGGCCCGTTTTATCAATGAAATATAAGATTTAGGATCGCTCGTTTTTCAGCTATTTAGGTTTCAGCTCTTTAGATATTAAAAAAAGCATTTTTTCAATTATTTACATTTAAAAATTTTGCGTATTTGTTTTCTTCATTGATTTGCCTTTTTTGTGGTTTTTTGGTAAGGTTTTAACTGTTTGCTTGGTCAAAATAGGGTCGAAAATATTCATTTACTTTTATGGGTAAATTTTAGTTTTGTGAATTTCTCTGCTCACTGACGAGTATTTCTTCAGTATAAGGGAGAAAAGCGCTGTATCTTACAAATTTTGTTCCAAAACATTTCTTCTAATTTTGAATAAAGTGAGCATTCAGGCATACAACAGCTTGTGTATGCGTAATTTAAGCCTTAAAAAATATAGTACAATTTTCTGCAAAAAAAATGTTTAAAAAAATTGAGTTTTTGAATTTCTATTATTCTTTTGGTTTTCTAGTCAATTTTACAAAACAAATATGTTAAATTGGCCTAAATTACTATGAATCTCTTAATTATGCCTAAAATATAGTCTTACATTCAATTTTTTATCACCTCACGCAGAAAAAACTTCACTAATTTGAAAAAAAAAAAATTTCTTAATGATTTTTAAAGACTGTAATCGGAATATTCTGTGCTACTTGCACAATAACCGGCTATCCTTGTTTCTAATTGCCCAAATAGTTTTAAAAAAATAACTACACACTGTTTTACATATGATGTAGCAAACACAATTGCGCAAAAATAGTTACACGTTTTTTCGAAGCAAATATTCTTTTTGTATTTTATTTTGATTTTTGAACAGAACAGAACATACACTATTCACGGGAAAGTAATGTAAAAAAAGAATGTCTAACAAAAAACGATATGTTTTAGAACAAAAAGTTTTTCATGTGGACTTTAGGCATACGCATAAAAAACAGAACTGCTCGCATATTAGCGCAAAGCCCTGATTGTTCCGATTGCCCCTTTACTGGTCTTGAACCGGTTTGTTCAAAAAGTTCGATTTAATAGATTTATTATGACCAATTACTCTTGACCTCAATTCAATTTGGAACGATGCGAACGATTTGCCACGCACAAATATTTCGAACATTGAAACTATCAAACTATAATTCGAGCAGCGATGCCATCCGCATTTAACCTAAGGTCTTCGTATTGTTACCGATACGCTGTCAACTTTCGTAAAAACAGGTCTGAATTTAGAAAAACACACTCAAGACATATATGTTTCCCACCTACTTCGAAAGTCGGAAAAACTATTTTTGGAGTTGAATTATCCAAATTTGTATATGCCTTCAATTTGCGAAGATTTTAGCTAATAAATGAAAATTTTAAACGTTGAAAATATTAATAAAATTCTATCGTGTTAGTCCTCAGTCGCATTTGTGTAATTATCATTTTATGGAACAGCAGAATGAAAAACCAAATAGGTTATAAATCACCTTGTGTTCCAATTATGGTCAAAAATGTGTCCGTGCATCCTTTATTTCCCTGGGGAACAAAATGTCTCTTCATATGATCAAATAGTATAAATTATATGATAAAGTTATAATTAAGTCTTGGCTTGTTTTTGATTTCAATTGTGAGTGAACAAAACCTGAATAGAAGGCTTTAAAACAAAAGGTCAAGAAGGAGCTTTCAAGTGTTATCAGGGACAGAAGAAGAATTTTTAATTGGTGAGGGGCAGTTTTTTAAAAAAAGAAAACGAAACAGTCTTTAAATTTTTTAAGATAAAAAGTCTTTAGAGCTCTCATTCTTTCCCGAACCAGCCTCTCTACAAAAAAACGCTGGTCATTACAGCTTGAAGAGACAGATATTATCTGAAAAAAAGCTAGTCATACATTTTTGATACCTGCCCGCTCAGGATTTTCATGGATAATAATCGATCACATTGAATTTTCATCGCAGTCCTCGGATTCAACTCCATAGACCGGAAACGCTTATCACAGAAGTCCATCAACTAATTCTATGAATAAAGCTAGTCACAACAAATTTCATACATTTTTGTTCAAGTGGTGTAATCAAAATTAAAAAAAAAATTGTCTTGTTTTCGCGTAAGAATCAAATATCGTTATGAAAAAATGAAAAAAAAAAATTATATCAAACAAACAATCCCCAAACAAACATGCGCTCAAACAAACATTCCCCATTTTTTTTTCTCGTAAAATTTGTTATTTTTGTGCGCATAACAAGTCTTGGATACACAAACTTGGTCACTGTCACTTCTATTTGGTTACCAACACAACCCAAAAATGTTGAGAACAAAATAAATTGAAACAAACACTTTTTGGTTTATTGAAAAATGCAAGTCATGCAACTTCCATATATAAAAAATCACTAATCATAGACCTTTCATACAATTTTCTTTACTTATTGAATTGCATTAAAAGTGTAGCATTAGTGTGTTTTTCTTTTAATGAAAATTGTATGACCAGCATTTTTGGTCAACCCGGTTCCCTGTAAAATTTAAAACACTAAATCAATATACTTGGTTAGAGATAAATTATCACATTTGTTTTCCTTGAATCAATATTTTCAACTGAATCGATGATTATCAGTTATAATGTAAAATGATCTTTTTTTCTAAAATTCAATCACAATGAAGTATATTCAAAAGATGACAATTGCTTTCTCTTTTGGTTTAACACATGTTGCATAACGTAAATTGATTTTTTCTTTGGCTTAGAAAAACGTTTTTTTTTTTGCTCACAATTTTTAGTATAGAGTATATTTTATCTTTTTTTTGCTGGCCTGAATTTACACTCCCGTATCCAACTTATGTCCTTTTCCTCCGCTCCAGCTTTTTAAAACGACCCTTGAACCCCACATTTGCCCTCCTCCCCATTCACATCCCCCACACAAGTTCACAGCTCCTCTCTTGTTTAACCCACGCTTACACATTACTTGGCGGTAAACTTGGGGAGTAGGGGGGCAGAATACAGGCTGGTGCAAGCGTGGCGCGGGGGAGGGCAATAAATTGGGAGGGGGTAAGAATGGCGCGGTAATCTAGGGAGAAAAGGTACCCACAGTTCCCATAGTTACCCAGAGCTCCCTCATCCATTTGGGGTGTTAAACGGATGAGGGAGGTGGGGGTCATCTGGGGGAGTTGCGAACGTGAACCGGTACGGTTAGGGCAGGCTAAAAGCGGGTACATTTAAACGGATAGGGGAAATGGGAGCAGTAAACACGTCTTATCTTTGAAATTATATTCATTTCTTAAAAGTTTTCTCACCTGTGATTTTTTAAATTAGTTATTGGGGTTTAAAGATTGCGAATTTGACCAACCAGAGACTGCACGATATTTTTCGCGATATTAAGATTTTACTGGAAAATTAATCCGTTTTAGAAATCGCTTCAAATTGGATTGAGTCATGGTAATTAATCTTTTTAATTTTTACCAATAAGCCGAATATATGAGGGAATTTTTACCTTAAATAGCATGTGGGGGATGGTTAAAAAAATTGAAAAATTTTTTTTTGCAAATTATATCAAATATTTTAAACACAACTCTATAGGCTTTGAATAGCAGCCGGAATTTTCAAAGTTTCGCCTTGATACGAGCAGTCTTGTTATACTTTGGAGCCACCCTCAATCAGTTGGCTTAGAAAAGATTTGCTAAAACTAGTTAAAGCAAGATAATTGAGCGAATCTAATTGGCTAGTCTTAGCCTAGAATAAAAAGGCATGAGGGCTAATTAATTTTTTTTTAATGAGCTGACAATTCAACAGCGTTTAGCTACAAAATCTCTAGTCACAATTGTTCATCTTCAAAAAACTCAATTTTAGGTGCAAAAAGATATCTTATTTACCAGATAGCTATTTTTTACTAGCTAAACTACAAGCCTCGCTTTCTCTAGCAACACGTTCATTTGGAATCGAGTTTTAGAAAAGTCCTTTTTGATTTCGAATCGCGGTTGCTCAAAAAACTCATTGTTAGCCCAATAGGCTGTTCCTGTAGAGACGAATATGTACTCTTTGCCAACCTCACAGTTATCGCCGTTTTTTCACCACAACTGTTGATAGTTAAGATAGATTTTCTTAACTGATTTTTCTTGGCCAAGGTATTTGTATTTTGCAACTTATCTCAAGCTAGCTCGACAGAATTTATTTAGGAATTAAAATTAGTAAGTTGCCGATCAGGGCTCTCATGTGTTTGATAAGAATTATTTTTTTCCACTGTCAAAAAAAGGCAAAAAAAATCATTCCTTTTTAAGTTTTTCCCAAAAAAACTTGATCGGTCACTGCTTTTGGATCCTTTCGAGTTCACGGTGAATGAGAAAGAGACAGGTCTGATTCAGACAATGAACAAAATAGAAGAAAATGAGAAACAAAAAAGCAGGATCAAGGCACCCAAGAAAAAAAATTATTTTCCAGATCAGACTGTCTAAAACTCCTCATATAAGACTTTAAATGGGTTATAACTGATGATAATGAGATTTCAGCGGTTTGTGTATTTGAGGAAAGATTCAAATATAATGGCAATAACATCAGTTTTATGGTCCAATTTTGCGAGAAAAATAGGGTAAAGCTGGCGGAGGAAATGAACGTGAACTGATAGCTTTAGGGCAGGCTAAACGTGGGTACAGTCAAAAGAATAGGGAAAATGGGAGCAGTAAACACGCGTTACCCATTTTAGAAATTGTTTCAAATTGAGTTGAGGCATGGTATTTGCTCTTGTTAATACTTTCCCATATGCGAATTATATGAAGCACTTGGTACTTTGCATAGTGTGCGGAAGATTATGAAAAAAAACTAAAAGAAAAGCTAGAGAAAAGGATGATTAAAAAGCTGAAATAAAAAGAAAAGGAAAAAAGAAGATTTATTTTAAATTTTGTACAATTCTTTTGAACACTACTCTATAGCCAATAAAAATGGGTCACAATTTTTAGGAGATTGCCCTGATACGAACAGTCCGCCTATTTTTGAGCTACTCTCAATCAAATGGCTCAATGCACGGGAGGTTCCCACTACCCGTTATCTCTATTGAACCGACAACCTCAAAAAGGTTCAAAAAACGGAGCAAACAAAACAAAAAATTGACTATTCCAAAGCCCATCATTTTGTGTGTTAAACACTTTGGGCATAACTGCTTATGAAGGGGAAATTTTTCAAATCCGACAAAATTTCTGGTTTGATAGGTTAGTTTCTAAAAAAAAAAAACAAAAAAAATCAAAAACGGTCAAATTTTTGAAGGCTGTGGATAAAAAGTGAAAGTGAAAGAGGCCAGCGGTCTTTCTATCAAAACCCTTTTTTAAAAAATAGGTAGAACCATTTTGAGAAAAAAAAATTTGCAAAAAGTTTTAAAATTTTCCAAAGTGTCTCAAACAGATTGAAAAATAAAAACTCATACAATTTCATAATATCTGTTTGCATCAATCAAGAATTCTAGGTAAACGCGTCAGTAAGACATTTTAAACTCAAATTAGCAACTGAGAAAAAATCACGACGCGGAAACAAGGCCGACCATCTATGAGCAGACACCAGTTGAGCCGAAGAAGACTTATTATGTGAAAACTTCAAAAAAATTCAAGCCCCCCTGAGTTTACCCTGTAGTAATTAGTACCCAGCCAGTTGTTAAAATTGAATTTTCATGAAATTGAGCATGTCAGCCGAAGAGCATGCCAAGTGATGAGCATTGAGCATGTCAAATGATTCAATTGATTTAGTTTAACTAGTTGTCAACGCGAAAAAAAGTCTACATTCCGATTTGATAATTAACTCATTAATAAAAAATTCATGATTGGTCCTTGCTTTCGGTCTTTTTTCAGTTTCCCACCCCTTCATCAAATTACAATATAAAGCTGTTCGAAAAATGTTTACAAGGCATTTTGCACATAAAAAACGTTGTACAAATTTGTTCACCTGCTCACACTTGATGCGTTTTGATGCAGTTTATAATATGACAAGTCATTTTAAATAGACTTTTATAAATTGAAATTTGGAAAAGAAATCGAAGGGTGACTGGGAAAAGAGCCCCGCTTTCTAGCTTGCTGAGACATATAACCTTTGCTTTTTTTCAACTCACTGCCAGATAAGAAAAGCGCGTGACACTTATTTTTTTGAATGTGATTTTTGTGAAAAAACTGGAACCAAAACTAAGAAAAACTAGGAGGTAATTTTTGCTTTAGAATCTCCTTAGTATCTCACTTGACCTTTTCACCTCTTCGGAAGGGTCAGTGAACTGCTCTGGATACCTGAAGGCTCTCCAAAACACTTCCAGACTCGACGACCGACTAGAACTCTGCACATTGCAATTGAGAAACAAACAACTAATTCTGGATGAAGTTGAACACATTTTGGCTGAAGGATCTGCAAAAGACGAGGTTTGCTCGCATTTTCGGTGTCTTTTACAATTTTTCCAAACAGTTCGTTTAACAAGTTTTAAATGCTTATTTAACAGCAGCACGACAATAAATTATTCAGCTAGCTTAGAATTATCATAACCATCTGGTTTAGTTTTTTAAAGTAACAAATCAAAGCTGTCAAAAGAGAACATAATGGGTTATTTTAAGCTGTCATTTGTGTTTCTGACACCAATTTACGCGCCTTAATGGTTACTTTTATATTTAGAAATCATTATGGTTGACTGTACTAGATTTCTCATCAAGAGAACCATCTACTAAATTCTGCCAGTGCTCGAACGAAACTCCGAACTCCAATTTATCCTTCAGTGAAGATCTGCTTTTCGAATACTACAAACGAAACACAATTGGAAAGCTACAGCTTCTTATTAACGAATGGAATATCCGAAATTCAGATGAAAACATATCTGAAAACCCAAACTCGACCGTAGAAGAAAACGCGACCCAAAGCAGCTTTGATAAATCAAATGAAAACACGGCTCAAACCTCTTGTCAAAATCAAACTAACAGGACGTTATCATCAGCGTTTTACCGACAAGTTGTGCATAACGAGGCATGGGTGATGCGCAAAAAACAGACCATGTTTAAAGCGTTGAAAAAAGCAGATAAGAAGGTTTTGCTGACTCGAGAAACGAGTTCAGTTCATGAGAGGGTTAGAGTTGCATCTGCTCAGAGAAGTCAGAAGAAAACGTCATGGAAAGTATCAGCAAATCTCCAAAAAAAGGTAATACAAATCTTTTATTCTAAAAAGTAAATTGAGCAAAATAAACTGACAAAAACAAAATTTTTGAAATAAAATTTGAAAAAAAAAATCTGCCATAAAAATCTTAATTTGAACTTTTTTTTTCGTGGTAAAACAGAACAATGGCTTTTCATATGGAAAAACTTAAAGTCCTTCTAATGCTGAAGTTTTTTCATTTCAAATTAATAAAATTTTCGCGTCGTACAAAAACTTTATCTTAAAATTCAATGCTGTTTTAGATGTGCTCTGTTTGCAAAGGCAGCTTAGCAGGAACTGATCCGAAACACCACACAAAAGTGGAAATGCTCAACATCTTCAAATGTGGTCACGCTACCCACACTTCCTGTTGGCGTGAACAGATTATATGTCCAGTTGAAAACTGCAGATCTGTGATTTAAAAATTCGACCTTGAAGCTCAATTTCACATTTGACTTAAATATTGGATAACTAAACAAAATACCGCCTGTTTCGAGAATATAATTATAATCAAAATAAATGTTGTAATGAAATTTGTATCATCAAATTTCATTAAATAGTTCATACTCAAATAGTTATTTACACTCAAAAAATAATTAGAACCTACTGCAAAGATAATGGATTCACAATGTTAGAGGAATCAACACAACTTAAACCGATCCCGGGTTGACTTTGATGACTCAAAAAAAGTTACCGATAAAAATACGCAAAACAGCGATCTACGATTTAGTCATTTTTGTTGTTCCGACTTTGCTCATTGCTCGGGGTGATTTTTTTTAAATTCAGACTACTCTTACAAAACTCTGGTCCCTCGGAGGGTTGAACTCTTGACCTGCTTATTGCCAGCCGTGTGCACACAAATATAGTTTTGCCTATATTTAATTACCCAAATTATCTGACACCAATTGAAGGGCAGTAGGAACATTCAGGGCTTTGCCCTGAAACGAGCAGTATCATTTACCATTATAGCAAAATTTAGCCCTCTATAAGCAATGAACTAGTGGTGGATAGTAAAGCAAAAAGTTTAAGCAATGAATTAGCGCTGGTTATCACTGATTTTTAGAGTTGAAAATAAAGCAGTAGCAAAGATCATTGCGAGGCGCAACCATTTCAGATTGCGGCGAATTTTGCCAATAACACTTAGGATTAAATCATTTCAGCGGGTTATGAGGTGACTGTATCAATTATTAAATAAACATCCAACAAGACTGCTCGTATATCAGAGGGCAAAAACTTGAAAGTTTCGACTGCCCATTAATCCATATCGAATAGTTTTTGGGCAAAAAATAATGGAAAACTACAAATTTTGGACTGTAACAAAGATAAAATGCAAAGCTTTGAATCGTACAAAATTAATGCTACCAAATAGCTAGCCTCAATTCAATTTGGAACGATTTTTTGGGCGGATAAATAATTCGTGGTATGCTTTCAGGATTATGGATAAAATTTACAAAGCGCGCATAAATTAGTACAGAGCATGGCCAAATCGGCAATTTTCAAACTCCTTGAACTTTGCTTAAAACGATTGAACGTAAATTTTTTTAAAATTTGAAATAAGGGAGTCGATATCTTCAATCTGTTATATTTTTTTTCAGCTAACACTTAACAATTGGATTGCCGAAAATTGATTGAATAAAAAACCCAAAGCATAAATTTCCGTTTTCTCTGAAAATCGGAACAAAAAAAACGCTTTTGATCGATTTGAAAAAAATATATGACTATAACATTAGCTCCAATTTTCCACTGAATTACTGCAGAGACTAAGTGGAAGATGTCGTTAGATTTCTGAACTATAAGCATGAAACATTCACGGAAAAGAGTTTTCACTGCAGAACTACAACACTAAGCGACAATCCACAAAACTGCTCATACCAGTGCAAACCCTCGATTTTTTTTAATCGCTTCTATTGTATATGATGCAGTTTTTTTGAATAAACATAATGATAAAACCTTCAGAAAGACGAAATCATGAGAAAACTTTTTAATAGGTTCGTTTTCAGAGTTTTTTTCTGACATGCTATGTAAACTACAAAGTGTGATTTAGTTCGCAATTAGTAGTACTCCTAGACCAAATCGCTTGCCTCACTTTATTTTTTTAAATTCTAAATTGGATTACTTCGTCACTTAAGCGTTATCAGATAGAAAATTGATTGGGTGTTACATATCACAAACTGAACAATTGGCATTTGTCATAGCCTGATAGTTTTGGAAAAATAATTGATTTTTTAACAAAGATAACATTTTTTTTATTTTTCATTTCGAACATAAAATTTGTTTGGATTGGTAAAAACTTCTATAAAAAGAACGGCTGACGAAGAGTCGAAATATACCCAATCGAAAGAAACCAAATCAAGCCCAAAAATCCCGCCTCCGACTCAGACAAGACTGTAAAAGTCGACAAGACTGTTGAATATAAGTGATAAAATGTGATATACAAAAGAGTAGGTTGGATGAGTAGACAGGCGCACAGACATTTCGGCCAAAGACAATTCAGCCAATTTTAAATTCAGACAATTCAGCCAGTTTTACATAACGCTAGAATCGAAAGATAAAAATCGGAATTGGAGTTATTTCTTGGTTTAAGGTCGCCGGTGGGCGTGCTACGCGCGCGTCGCCGCTTCGCGGCGATAACCAGCTCTAAATTTCGTATAGAGTCCTACCATCTGTTGGCAAGCTCGCAACACGTTGGCGCGACTGCGGCGGTCACCATTAATGGCTGAATTGTCTCTGGCTGAATTGTCTGCATACTTTTGGCTGAATTGTCTGATTTTCAAATCGGCTGAATTGTCTTTGGCCAAATTGTCTGGACGCGGAGTAGACATTATAGTGGGGAGGCTTTTGTCACTGTCTTCGTCAGAAAAGATGATGACATCTGATTGTGAGTCATCTGATATGTGTAGTCCCCAAGTTTTTTGATTGTGTGAAAGCCCTTTTCGATTGTGTGAGTCCCTTTTTCGGATGACTAACGCCTGGTTCCCCTGGCGTTGAATTTTGTGACTTTTTCTAACTTGGCTTAGTGTCTAAATCCTTTGAAACTTTAAATGCGTATGCTAATCATATATGGTCTCTTCTGAAATTTTTTCATTTTTGTGTCACGTATGTAGAATTGGTTTTTGTTTTAATTTTTTTTCGAACGTAAAAGCAAAGTCTTGCCAGATTTTCTGTCCCAACTTTTTCGGAGCAAAATCTAGGTTTAGAAAGTAAACAGTAAATATTCAAGATCAGTAAGACGTTTTTTTTCACTCTGTGTCTTCGTGTTCTGGCTCATATCTAAGCGCCGCTTGCGAAACGGTTTTTTTAGAGCAGGGAATAAAAACCAGTTTCTGTTAAAAAGTTGCTTTTAGAAGTCCTTCAGTGGAGCTTTTTTTGGACTAGTTTCACGACTGTTTCTTCCATTTGGCACTTCTTTCACTCGGTCCCTGTAGTACCAGTTGTCTCTCATTTCTTCGGCCTTGAGCATCTCTGTGATTTTCTCGTAAGATATAACCCGAGATTTTCTCGTAAGATATAACCCTAGATTTTCTCGTAAGATAAGTAAAATTCAGTGTTCCGTTTCTGTTGAACTGCAATTCAAGTGGTGACTTTTGGTAGTTTTCCCAGGTTTCTTACAGGATGTACATGATGTAGCCAGTTTTCTTTTTAGCGTTTGAATCTACCTTTTTTCTACCTTTCATGTACCTCTGTGATCACCTTCGGGGTTGAAAATGTGTTATATTCCGTTTTCGACACAAAACTATTTCGCTAACTTATTATTGAACGGTGAACTTTGATCCGTTCTAAGCACTTTAGGAATGCTATGCGCACGTATATAACCTCTGAGAAGTTTCAACATCTTTTTATTAGAAGCAGATGTTGTCATTACCAAATGATATTTCGATTATTTGTCAGTGAAAACATAGATGTACAATTTTCTCTGACTGTCCTTCTATCGCTCCTTAATATCTAGCCGAACTTCTTCAATCGTACTGGTTCAACACGAGGAAAAGTTTTAAGAGAATGATGTTTTTTTACTGAAGATTTTGTTTTCTCGTCAATTAATGTACACTTTCTACAGTTTTTGTCACTACTTCACAAATCGACTGTTTATATGCAAGCAACACAAGAAATCCGCCGAATCGAGTTTTTTCTCCTGGTTCGAAGTGTGTCCCATGCAATCTGGTGATGACCACTGTTTCCAGGACTTTTGGAAAAGTTGACTGTTATAACTTGTAATTGATATAAATGCAGTCAATTAATAAAAGCTTATAAATACTAAAATGGTCAATGTCGTTAGATATGATCGCTGCCTTCATTTTTGCCAGAAATGAGTTTTCCTCAGGGTTCTGCTAACAAGTTTGTGTTGAACAAGCTGGGTAATGTCATACCACTTTGACCTTTTGATTGTTCAAAAATTGGTTGGGGTCGAACAAGCATAAAAGCTACGTCCTTGAAGCCGCAAACATGTTTGCGTTGAATGTTGGTTGTTTCATTGTCTTCGTTCGATTTTTATTTCAACGATTTCAGCTGCTGAATGATGAACATTAATTTCAGTGACATGTCCCGTTTCGTTTTTATTGCTGCTCCGCTGTTTTCGTCTGATTAGTTCAGCCTGCTTTATCCTTACGATGCGATGCGTCTTGATCAAGTTTTGCCAATTTAAACTGAAGGTCAGGGGTTCGAGACCCACCAAGAGAGTTTTATCTAGCTAGAAATAGCCTAGAGTTAGATAATTTCTGATCAGAATTAGGAAGAGAAATATAGAATTTAAAGAAAATCCGTGCTCTATTTGAACATTTCAAAAAGAATTTCTGACTAGAAATTAGATTAGATACAAAGTATTTCAGGTCAAAAATAAAGATGTTTCTCGGTATGGGGATTTTTATTTACATGGTGTCGATCGGTAAAAACACCGGGTTTGACGATTAACTTCTTTTTAGTTGATTTCTTCGATTTTTGTTCTGAAATTTGGTGCGACTGTATATATCGCAAAGTTATTGTTTACCAGTTATTGTTACTCTATAGGTATTTGAGTATAGGTATTTACTTTAAATTGAACACCCGGTTTGAAGTCCACAGTAGAAAGATATATATCATACAATTGTATGGTCTACTCGATGCTTTTAAAGCTTTCTGGTCAACAACAAAATTATTTTAAATTTTGAAAGTAAAAAGGCTTATAATGCACTTTTCATATATGAAAAGTTCATGACTAGCATTTTTTTCATGAAAAAATAAATTATTCAAAAACTGTTCAAAATCAGTTTTAGGTGAGCTCATTTGAAACTAATTTGAGTTTTTGAAAGTTAGGGGCATTTTAACTGTCGAAATTATATTTTGACAATAAGTCGAAAAAAGGCTTATCATATAATTTCCATTTATGAAAGTTGTACGACAAGATATTTTCTGGAGAAAAATTAAAAATTTTAGGAATCATTTAAAATTGATCATAGGTAGAGTCGATTGAGCTTATTATGAGGTTTGTTATAATGTGAGAATTTGAATAATAAAATCTTTTTTAAACTTTTTTCATATATGAAAATTGTATGATAAGCATTTTTCTAGAGAAAAAAAAGAAACTTCAGGAATCATTCGAAACAAATTATAAGAAAGTTTCAATGAGTAGACATACATTTTTGTTGACTGCGACCAATTTTCCGGTCCAAATACGAATTTGGTTTTTTTGTTGAAAAAATGCTTTTCGCATAATTTTCGTATATCAAAATTTTATGATAAGCAATTTTCTACAAAAAATGTTTAGTTTTGAAACCTTGCTACGTTTAAAATTCGAGCCGAGTTCAAATGAGTTAACTGTTTGTTTTTTTTACTTTGAGGCTCCCCCCTCGGTATGGTTCTGATTGGATTAGGAGCCTTAAGCTGTCTCGAACTTCTGGAGAATTAGTGAAAAACGCAGTCGCAGTTCCGACCTCTAAAGTTTTCTAGATTTTCTCCACTGTTCAGAGATGAAACGCTTCATGGGTGGGTCTTAAATCTTTTTGCTTCTAATCTACTTGCCAAGTTTCAAGAATGTAACAAGCTCACCATACAATTCCATAGAGTGGAAAAAATGCTTGTCATACAATTTCATAGTATGGAAAAAATGCTTATCATACATTTTCATAGTATGGAAAAAATGCTTGTCATACAATTTCATAGTATGGAAAAAATGATTTTCATATAATTTCATAGTATGGAAAAAAATCTTTATCATACAATTTCATAGTCTGGAAAAAATGCTTATCATACAATTTCATAGTATGAAAAAATGCTTATCATGCTACTTTCATACAATTTCTGTGATAAGGAGACTGAAAAAAAAGCATAGATTTATTTCTAGAGTATGGGAAAAATGATTGTTATAAATTTTCATACTATGAAACGAATGCTTATTTTGCTATTTTCATACATACACTTTTACTCTATGAAATTGTATGAAAGAGTTTGATAAGCATTTTTTTCATTTATGAAAAATGTATGACAAGCATTTTTTGTCAACCCGGGTATGTATCGATAAAGCTCTGACTTTGTGCGAAGTTAAGACCATATCTTTTCTCTGTGCCTTAAAACTTGAGTGCAGGTATAATTCTTAGAGCTGCCCTGTCCTTTATTGATTTCTGAATATATACAAATCGATTTCTTCAACCTCTTCTATGGTTTCTTCTTTCGGGAGTTTTATCGGTTGAGTAACATTTCCCATTTCCCAGCGAAAACTAAGATCCATTTCTAGAAAACATATCGTTTTAAATTATGAGACCGAAAAACTTGCGTTTTCGGAAAGATTCTCATTAGAAAAGATCATCACAAAAAATTTTCCAAACATATCAATCAAATTTTTTTAGGTAATTGACCTATTGAGCTTTTATTGAGCGGTTTCGTATAAATGAGCTTATATTGAGCTTTTATAGGTTTTGTTTGAATGAGCTTATATTGAGCTTTTATCGGTTTCGCATGAAGGCTTGAATGTCGTTTGTTTAATTCCTGCCAATGGAAATTCAGCATCAAGCTTTTAGAATCAACTCGAAACTTTTGGCGAATAGAACTAGCTTTCCATAACATTGAAAGCGAGTATGTGAATTGAATGATTCGACTCAAGTTCAGAAAACAGTTAGAATTTTTTGTTTGTCTTATTTCGAGCGAATAAAGGCTTGGATTAGGCTCATAACTTAACTTATAAAACTAACTGTTTCTTAATTTTTTTGCAAGTTAAACAAGTTATCAAAAGAAATTCAGCGCCTTTTGGGATTAAAAGTTTTGAGAACAAGCAAACAAATTTCTGGAAAAATTTGGAAAAAATTTTCCGAAAATTAAATGTATTTTTGTTTTAAGAATTGTTTATTCTGGAAATTACTTGTAAATTGTACTCAATTTACTTTCACTATTGAAGTTCTAGGCTTTCGTTAAAACTCGATCGCACCAAAAAAACTACGCAAATGAAAAATAAAATATGTTTTTCTAATAAATATGGTCGGAGCATTCTAGGCTACTTGAGCAGCAACCGGCAATCCTTGTTCTTATCTGCAGGTATTATTTTTTTCTCAGTTTTTTTATTATCAATTGCGTCAATTTACCTGTAACATACTGTATGGCCGCTAGTAGCTAAGTTTTGTTTCAAAGACGCTATTTTGTTAATATCGAAACCTCTTTAGATTATGCTGTATATAATTTTCATGGGCCTATAGAGAAATCAGATTTAACGATGATGATTGGTGTTAAAGCGAACAAAATGGTGTTTTTTTGAGAAGTTGGTGCAGACGATTGCCTTAGAAAAATAGTTTTGCTACAAGTTAACATTTAAATTATTAGATGGTAAGAAAAGTATCGTGCCATAGCTAGAATTGAATTGTTCTAAAAAAAAGTCAAAATAACTCAGTGTCTTGTTCATTTTTTTTACCGTGTGTATCCGAGTTTCCGGTTGTTGACAAGTTGTCAAAAACACATGCTGTTGTTCTGATGTTCTCACTTTTATTCCATTTGGTGTTTAATTGCAAATCATTTCCTTTTTAAAAAAGTACATATTATGCTACTTGGAATTATGCCAAAACTGTTCTGGGAGCGCTCGGAAAATCAATTTGGTCGACCTAAAAAAAGTCGACGAAATTTTCAAATCTCTGTTGAAAATCTAACCCCCCATCCGCGACTCGAGAAATTCCTAGATCCGCCCCTGGCTTAGACCAATTAAGCGCAATTTCGTTGATCCCCGCAATCAAACTTAGTGGATATTGGTGCCAAAGGATCCTCTAGACAAAGTTTTAGGGTTGGTATGCCAAAATGGTGTCGTAAAATTCCCGTACCGAACTTTTCTCACAATTTCAGGTCTGATCATACAATTGTCAGACACTAGCTGTTTTTCAGCTCTGTGCATATCTGTTTCACATGTGATCACTTCTACTGTTTACAGACTATACCTGATTCAGACATGACTATAACTGGTCAGACATAATTGTACCTGGTCGGACATGACTATACCTAGTCAGACATGACTATACCTGGTCAGACATGACTATACTTGGTCAGACATGACTATACTTGGTCAGACATGACTATACCTGGTCAGACATGAGTATACCTAGTCAGACATGAATATACCTGAGTCAGAAATTACTATACCTGATCAGACATGACTATACCTAAGTCAGACATGATCATACTTAGTCAGAAAAGACGTATTTTTTTGTTAGAAATACACATTTCCTATTCTGAAAAAATATGTAGAAGAGATGTAGACAATTGATAGTTGAAAAAAATTAATCAAAAAAATTTACCCAAAGTTTGTTTAGTTTTTAATTTAACGTCACCCGTCGACAACCCGCGTTAGTTATCAATTGGAAAGTGGTAAACTGTTCGGGGGATTTGGTGAGTTTTTAACCATCCCCCATTAATTGAATATGCATTAACTGTATATGATTTAACTAATTGAAAATGGTTTGGTGAATCATCAATTGTATATGCATACGGGGTTTTATCATTATTAGAAGCAATCGGAGGAGCTGAACGATTCAAATAGGGTGAGTTTCGTGGGGGCATGCTTGGTTATTTAAAATAGTTGGCTAACATAAGAAAATAACAGAAACTTACAAAGTAAGTGGGAAATAAATAATTTTCAATTATTACCCCCATTTTCTATTCTGATGAAAGGTATTCTAGGTATCCTATTCTAGGTATGATCATGTTTTTTCAGGTATCAGCAGATCTGTTCCAGGTAAGATCATGTGCTATCAGGTATGATCATTTCTGCTCAGGTTATGATCATGTAGTTTCAAGCATGATCATGTCTGGTCCAGTTATGATAATGTAAAGTCAGGTATGATCAGGCCAGTCCCAGGTATACTTCAGATCTGATCATAACTAACTCAAGATCTGAGTTTTTCCATAGTTATCATGTCTGGAAAAAAGAGATATGCCACAGGACTGATACAGATATGATTTTTTTTTGAAATTTTGATGTCCAGTAATGAATGTAACTACAATATTCGGTACGGGTACCATATTACTGTAGTACCATATCCTTTGGGCGGCCAGGGTGTCGGCATTTATCAACTTTAGCATTTGTAGCATTTGTTCAGCAAGTTTAAAGAACAAAGATCAATTTAAATTGTGCACACTATTTGCGAGACCTATTGGTGATATGTTTAATCGATTATCTTCGATATAATTTTGATTCACCATTTCCATTATCAAGGTTTTTCTGAACTACTTTAACCCTCTGTCAAAATTATTCGGGTATAATTCAATGGCTCTTTTATCACCCCCACCATCCAAATTTTCTATTTTTATAGTTGATTTACGTACGTGTGTTATGGCTAAACATGTGACACAATGTTATAAGAAATGAAGAACAGATTTGTTCACAATCGTTCACTTGTTCACTTTGTAAAGTTTCATTGCATTACGGCAGTGTTAAAATGGTTTTTCAAAGTTAATATTGATAAGTGGCGGGGGTGGGGGGGGGGTGTAGAAAAGAGCCAAGTTCAATATAAAGAGCAATGCGACTGAGCCATGTGGTCTACATTATTTCTCTGGTCATTTGTATCACAGGTGTTAATGTGACTGAACGAGAACTTGATTGGCAGTCGATGGTGTTTATTATACCAGATCCAAATGGTAATCAAAGCGGCAGAAAATGTGCCCAGCTCAGGTAGCCCATACAATCTTCTTAGGATGAAGTATACCTGATTTGTTTCTGAGCCAAAAATTAATAAAGCAATTTTTCTTGTATATTGCGAAATATATCGCGCGTTAATTGTCCCAAACTTTTCGAAGTGGCAATTTTTCAACCCCCATAACTTTACGAAAATTGATCTCAGGTAAAATATCTTTCCAGTTTTTTGAACTCAGGTCAACAATACTTTTGAATAATATTATATATATATATATATATATATATATATATATATATATATATGTATGTATATATATATTGTACATTTGTACTTTCAACTGTCTCCAACAAACAATTTTTTCCCATAACTATTGACTTTCAAAAAAAATAGTTTTTCAAAAAAATAGGAAACATTTATCCGCCCTTCGTTAAAAACATTAGTTAATAGAAAAGGTTATAAAAAAAACAATTATTAAAATTTTTTAGAAACCAAATTTTATCTGAACTTTTTGTGATAGCCAATTAAAGGCGTAAATTCTTCTAACTTTTTAAGTTCTAGCAAAAATGTTTACGAAAACGTCTAAAAAAGTTTTATAAAAACGTTAAAAAACTTTTATAAAAATGTCTAAAAAGTTTTTATAAAAATGTCTAAAAAATTTCGATAGAAACGTCTAAAAAACAATAAAGACCAAATTCACCAGCAACCAAATCGAAACGGAAAGCTTCAAAATTTTGGAATCCTTTTACAATGAAACGAAAACTGAAAAACTGACGAGGCTAGCTGAAAGCAATGTATCAATGCAAAAACTGAACCACAAAGGCGAAGCGGAGCTTTTCACCACTTACCATATAGACATATGCCACAAACATATTGCCAGATATAGTTTGTATCTTCATACAAACAAACAAAAATGACTGACTGAAAAGTTTGTTATAATCTTCGAAATTTGAAAAACTACATTTTTTCCAGGGTAGCCAAGACCGGTAACTTCCCAAATGGCATAAAAATGGAAACTTTTCCCAAATGGCATAAATTTCAAGTTTTCATTGTAATTTAAACGTTTTCTATCAATTTCTAACTCTAACATTTTGTCAGGAACGAAAGCATGTGAACAAGATTTGGAATTAATTGCTTCCAAACAAATTTAAGCCACAGGTTTGCCGAAAAAATTTGACCACAAGAAGCTTATTAATAACCGCAAGCTTATGCTTCTTGCTTTTGAAAAAAAGTTCTACAAGTTTTTCACGATAAAATGTCAATCAACATTTGAATTGACAATTTGACTAATTTTCTCACATTGTTCACGAAAAAATTGTTCTCGATTTTTCCAAAGCAACTGTTGCATGAATTTTATTCCATTTGGGAAATATTTCATTTTTATGCCATTTGGGAATTATGCCATTTGAGACGTAATCCCAAGACCCATAGTTCAAAAATAATTATTTGAGCAGCTCAACCAGCGGAAGTATTGTTAATACGTCTGTACAAAGAATTTAAAAAATACCAAGGTAAAACACAAATCTCAACAATTAGTTTGGTTGTTATTTATTTTTTAAAATATAGTCCTTAATTTTAATATTCAAAATGGCATTCTATGTTAATAATTGTTTTTGGGTTTTCGTTAGCAGACAGAACCGAAATAAGTAGACAACGATGGACCAACAATTTGATTTATACAAAACTACAGGACCTGGAGCGACTCGAATCTACAGTTTTTGCCGTTCCACCCATCAACATTACGTTACAACTATGGCAAATGCACATAGCCGGTTTTTGGATCTGAATTAATTGAAAACCAAAACTATTCACTGATTTTAATAGACAAATTGCTAGCCTTAAAAAATTTATTGTCAAAATTTATTATTTTTGTTGATACTACTAGCATTAGAGTATGACAATAATTTACCTAGTGACTTTTCTGTCTAAAAAAAAAACAAATATTTAACATGTCAAATTTGTATTTTTTGATTGAATTGTCAAAAAAATTATAACCCCTAAAAATGATCCGTACTAAAACAAATACGTTTCTGTTCTGTGGATCGAAAAATCTCCATCAAAGGCTGTGCAGCCTGTCTGAAACCTGTTTTTTTTATTCTGCTAGATTCGAGACTATTAAAATTGCGACTTTTTTTCTGCGGTTCAAGATCAATTTCTGGTAGCAAAACTTTCGAAAAAATAAAAATTTATTTCTTAGTAACGATCATTTTATGTAATTTTTGTGTAATTTCCATGTATTTTTCATGTGACTTTCATTGTATTTTAGTATAAAATTGGACAAAGACTTAAAAGTCTTTCTCTCACAGTAGGTCTTCATTGCCCAGCTCAGCAGTTTTTTGTTTATACCGTTAAAGAATTTATTAAACTGCCTAACAAAATTCTTTGAAATGCGATGGCATATCACTAAAACATTAAAACAAAGTTATCGGTTTTGATTGCGAGAGTTTTATTTACTGATTGTAGCGTTTCGATTCCGCAGACCAATTTTTTTTAATAGACTATTATTTTTTTTATGGAAAGTAAAGGTTTGATTTCGATCTACTGCAAAAAAAAAATTTCGTGCCAATTTTCTTCTACTAAATGATTATCTACCGTAAACTTAATTTCGTATCGTCGCTTCTACATCTGCTAAAAACGATCAGTTCAGATTTATTTGTGTTTAAGTTTATTTTTGCCAGATTGAAGCGGCAGTTTCTGAGAAGAATCTTTTGAAGCTGAAAAACCTTGTTTATGTTAGTATGATTATTTGAAAGTAGCGTATAATCTACATTTCTATTCAAACTGCATTTTTTAAATCTTTTCGTTTCAACCAGGAATGTGAAGGTTGAAAATTATGGGCCTCAAAAAATTTCTTTGAGTTGAAATCCTAGCAATTTCTGTAGTCACTTCTCGCCAAAATTTTTTGCTTTTAGCTCATAAAAGTTTCAGTCATTTTTATTGCTGATTCAGAGAAACTTGGACCCTTTGAAATATTTTTGAAATGTTAATTGTCGACTGAATCGAACGCTTTAGAGCAATCTAGCAAAGTACGGCATTGTTTGCAGGTGGTTCCTATCATTTGCCGAAAAAATTGATCTCTGTTGATAACAGGGAAAAATTTGAATATTTTATTGATCAGTTCTGTTAAGATTACAACTTTAACGATTTAAACGATTGGTGTTCTTGAATGTCTTCATTGGTATTGGTTCTTTTGTTATTTCTGTTTTATACGGAGTTAAAATTGCGCCCAGTGATTTTATTGCTTCGTTTCGTTAATTAGTTAAGTTCCAATCTCTCATGAGAGTAAAAATTGGTCTTATTGATTGCGCCTCTTCAATTGATAAACCAAGATTGTCAATATCTTTTTTGTTAATTTTGATAAGATCAAAGAATAAACTTGAGAAATGATTTTTTGATTTTGTTTTTGAAAGCTTTTGTGCCCACTGAGAGACTATTTCTGATGTAGTAGGTTCATATTTGTGGAGTAATAAGTTCACACCTTTGCGTAATAAAGGAATTATTGTCTTCAGAATGAGAATTCTCGAGACAATAAACCCTTAAGAACGCACAGATATGAGCTTACTGCTTCAGAAAAATGACAACATCTCAGTGATAATCAATGCTTTAAAAACAATTTGTATTTTTTTCTTGCCACTGCTGATCTATAACAGCGGAAAGCGACAATTTGATTGGCATCTCGACGTTACTATCATACGAGTCATTGAACCTGATCTCGATGGAACCTTCAAAAACGTATTGAGTCCACATGTATCGACTAATTTTCTTAGACCAGTCATTTTCTGTTTACTTTTTATGCAGTTTAGTTTAGATGTAGGATTGTTACATTGTTTTTTCTTTCTCTTATTTTTTCATGTATGTCATTAAAACTTAAAGTTTGAAAGGGTTAGGTTCATTTCTCCTCCCCCCCCCCCCACATGTTACTATTGATGATAATCATAGTAGAAAAAGAAAACATAAATAGAGGAACTGTAGTCATAAAAAAATGCGCTTGAGAGGCAACCAAATTATTCTACTAAAAAAAAAACAGTTTCCTGGCCGTCGATACACATAAATGCAAAAACAAAACTTGAAGTACCAGACTTTGTTTCGAAACTAATTTCAGCGATAGTAGCTTTCCTTGTAATTATTTGAAGAGTTTGAAGGCATATCGTCGATTTGGAAGTACTATACTGAAATATTTTGACAACGAGTATTGTTCCGACTTCAACGAAAGTAACGGAATATTTGTGCTCGGTTGGTTTTTTTTCTTCAGACATATAAAAAACCAATTTTGACGAAAATTTATAAAAACAACATTAAAAAGTATTGTTGATCTGAGTTTAAACAATTGAAAAAATATTTTACCTGAGATTATTTTTTGTAAGGTTATGGGGGTTTAAAAAATGCCATTTTGAAAAAATTGAGTCATTTAACGCGCGATATATTTTGCACTATTAACGCGTAAGCGGAGATTTTTTCCGTCTTAAAAATTGTTCCAAGTTGGTTGTAGGAATCTTGTTTGCCTTAATTGATTTTTTGCTTTGTACTTTGTTGCAGCGCAAATGCATGAGAGTATAAAATTGAAGCAAAATGTAAATGCATATAGGGACAGTAGCCAAGCGTATACAGGGTGCGTCCCGGCGGGTTCGGCAAAATTTCGAATCCCGACTAGGTCATTTCCTTTCTAGAACTCAAATATGCCCCGAACTTGATGGGACGACCGTAACCAGGTTCGAACCCCTTCAAAATCTATTATAACCCTCTTTTCGCTCTAATTTGGTTCAACCTTGATTACGGCTGACCTTTAAAAAAAGCAATTTGTCTCAAGGACAAATACTGGCCATTTTTGTAGCTTGCTTTGAGTTGTGCAGTTTTTTAGAGCCGATGTTACCGATGTTACCGATGAAAAAGTTTGTTAAAAATTATCGTTATATTTTCAAATTTCCGGAATTATTTTGCCGAGAAAATGCTCATTAATTCAAGCGTTTAAAAACCGTTTTTTTACGAATTGTGGAGATTGACGCGCACATTTTGGCGCCTCACAGGGGACCCGAAGTCC